GTTATTTCTGAATGTAAGCCAAGCTAATTGTGAAAGAAAATAAATCAATTCCACAGCTAAATATACACTGCCTCTGTATGCTGTTGTTGAGACTGTCTGGGAAAATATCATCTTATGGAGAATATTCACAGACACAGCCCCCTCTCCTCTATAGGTGGTCAGGTGTAAACGATGTCCGTTAACACCTGACTGCCATCTGATCCGGCCAGATGGAGGGGAACAAATCCCCTTTCATTTGTTTTTAGTGGATTGGATTGGATGTAGGCTGGGGTAAACAGACACACATCTGTTCACACTCGCCACTCTATAGAGGAGAATGGAGGGTTTCGATTGGAACAGCCGGATAAACAGACAGGCGTACCCGATCAGAATGTTTATGTGAAATGGGCTTTAGTGTGGATGATGGAATCTATTAGATATCTCTTGTTCAGTCTGCAGGCAAAATGTATACATGTGTTTGGCCAGTTTTAATGCTAAAGTAAGTGACATCCATGTAACCGTAACTTAAAAAAAAAATAAAAAAAAATATATATATATATATATATATTATGTGGCTACAACATTAAAACTGAATTAAATATCATGAGATAAAATAAGTAATGGTAATGATGTTAAAGCAACACATCCATCTTACTGAAGTTACCTTATTATCTTCTTAAAAGGACATAATTCATAGAATGCACTCTTTTATTCCATATTTTATTTTATTTAGTTCATTAAACACTTATATTAAACATTCAGTTTTTCAGGCACATACATTTTAAAAATAAATGTAGAACACTGATACATTTCAGTACAACTCTTGCACATAGATCATTTAAGCACAGTACAACGGAGTTTCCTTTGGTCAATACTGTGTATCATGGGATCAAACTAACAGGAATTCATTAACCTACGGTAGCATTGTCCACTGTAACAGTATTTGCTCTGCTTTGCGACTTTATAATAACTGTAAGCTTACATTAGAAGGTAGCCTTCAGGCCTCCTCCAAATTATGGGTTGCTTTACCACACCAAGGTTAATGGGTTTTCATTTAAGTTAAAGCTGGTTTTGCAGAGCATTAGGGGTTTCCAACAGAGAGTACAGCAGTATCTTTTTTTTGCTTTCAGGGTGCCTCTATCTAATTGAAACTCTGTACATAACCAGGAAGGGAAAGTGGTGAGTTACTCATCTGATTCATTCAGACATGTAAAATCTGAGCTTAAAGTGGTTGTAAAGGCAAAGGGTTTTTTTTTTTTTACCTTAATGCATTATCTGTATTAACAGAAATAACCCTTTAATAGTAACTCTCCACCTGCCTGCCCCCTTAAGTAATCACCTGGGCCTGATCTTGATCGAGCACTGCAGGTCTTCTCCCCTCTCTCACATTCTTGACAGAGAGCAGCAGAAGCCATAGGCTCCTGCTTCTGTCAATTAAAATTTGTGAGCAGGGGGGGGGGGGGTTTCGAGCCAGGCTGTGTCTGAATAAAATCAGCTTGGTGGGCACTTGGTGGGGAGGAGGATCCAGGAGCACAGGTAGGGGACCCCAGAATGGGAGTATTGTGGCATGATTTTAATGAAAAAAGGCAAGCTTTACTATCACTTTAACATCCAGCTCTGTAAAAAAATGTGGTTTGGTTTTTTTTTTCAGCAAAGCAATTAAGGTTAGCTTGGCAAATGTAAAATGTAGTCTACATTCCATCATACGGCTCAAAGTTGTAAATATAATATATTAATATGCTATATTTTATATTTGCATAACAAAAAGAAAATTATGTTAGCCCTAAATAAAATAAATAAAAATAAATGTATACACGCTAATTCCTTTCAATGGTCTTGTGCAAAACATGTGCACCACAGTAGATATGCTACTTTAAAAGGAATTCTAAAGTAGGCTGATAGATTGTCAAGCTTATTCAGTAAGGTGGTTAAAAAACTAATCACCACAGAAACCCCTGGCAACCTCATATTTTTTACTCTTTTTAAAAGCATTCACTGGAATGTTTTAACTTGGTTATTGTATTTGGTTACTATAGGTAAGTAGCAAAACAGGAATTTCTATTGAATGTATCTGTGCCTATACTGTAGACTAGAGATGAGCAAATTATTCAAAAATTCGATTCGGCTGATTCGCCGAATTTGTGGAATAAATTCGATTCGATGCGAATTTATTCGCTGCGAATTTAACTTATAAAAAGGGTTTCTAGGCTTCAGAGAGCCTTTATATTAGTGCAGAACACTGTACCTTTAATTTAAATGCCCTTGGAGTCTGCCGGGGAAGAGAAATAATACTGTCAGTCAGTATGACATGCAGATGACGTCGATCTTAGAATCACCGCAAACTTCACTCATTTGAAGAAGAAGAAGAAGAAGTAGGATGAGGATGAAGAAGAAGAAGAAGAAGAAGTAGGATGAGGATGAAGAAGAAGAAGAAGAAGTAGGATGAGGATGAAGAAGAAGAAGAAGAAGAAGAAGTAGGATGAGGAAGAAGAAGAAGAAGAAGAAGTAGGATGAGGATGAAGAAGAAGAAGTAGGATGAGGATGATGAAGAAGAAGAAGTAGGATGAGGATGAAGAAGAAGAAGAAGAAGAAGAAGTAGGATGAGGATGATGATGAAGAAGAAGAAGTAGGATGAGGATGAAGAAGAAGAAGAAGTAGGATGAGGATGATGAAGAAGAAGAAGTAGGATGAGGATGAAGAAGAAGAAGTAGGATGAGGATGAAGAAGAAGAAGAAGAAGTAGGATGAGGATGAAGAAGAAGAAGAAGGATGAGGATGAAGAAGAAGAAGAAGAAGAAGAGGAAGAAGGATGAGGATGAAAGAAGAAGAAGAAGTAGGATGAGGATGAAGAAGAAGAAGAAGTAGGATGAGGATGAAGAAGAAGAAGAAGAAGAAGTAGGATGAGGATGAAGAAGAAGAAGTAGGATGAGGATGAAGAAGAAGAAGAAGTAGGATGAGGATGAAGAAGAAGAAGAAGAAGTAGGATGAGGATGAAGAAGAAGAAGTAGGATGAGGATGAAGAAGAAGAAGAAGAAGAAGTAGGATGAGGATGAAGAAGAAGAAGAAGTAGGATGAGGATAAGAAGAAGAAGAAGTAGGATGAGGATGAAGAAGAAGAAGAAGGATGAGGATGAAGAAGAAGAAGAAGAAGTTGAGAAGAAGAAGAAGTAGGATGAGGATGAAGAAGAATTCCAGTCCTGCAAAAAGTGTATCTGCAGAGAGCTCCGCTATTTCTGACAGTTCTCTGACAGTTCCTTCACATTTACAGCGGTTGAAACATTGTATCTATTTGTTTCCGAATAAAAAACTGTATCCTAAATGGAAACAAATAGATACAATGTTTCAACTGCTGTAAATGTGAAGGAACTGTCAGAGAACTGTCAGAAATAGCGGAGCTCTCTGCAGGGACACTTTTTGCCGGCTGTAGAAGGGATGAAAATCGGCCGATCGGGGAAAATTCGATTCGTGCATCCGAAGTTTGCTAATATTCGGATTCGGCGCAAATCAAATTTTTCTAATATTCGAAACGAATTCCACTTCGCCAGGTTCGATTCGCTATCTCTACTGTAGACTATCAGCCCTATTAATCTAACCCTCTGATTGCATGTGGTAATCTGCACCAGACTGACAGGTGACAAACATTTCTCCATACTGGGGATGAAGATATGCTTATTCATTGACAGTTTCTGCTCATTGTTGTTTGCAAAGATATCAGATAACATGTAGTAGATATATGCCTCAATCACAGAGTAAGGGGCAGAAAAAATGTTTGTCTCTTGACTTGTCTGTTTATATGCTATTTTTGTTGAATATATAGTGGTACAGTACATCAAAACCATACTTTGGACTTCTAAGGTGGATTCATCTGTATCCAAATAATGGTCCAATCATTTTGAACATACTTACTTGAGTAAGATTTAAAAGTTGTGCATTTATGACATTGACTTTGATAGTGATTTTATAAATGTTTTCCTAATTTCTGCAAATAATGGAACCAACATTTTATGACTGGAGTGTCCATAAATGAGTAAGCAAAGTAATTATGCAACACTTTCAGCAATACACATGAAAAATGAATGAGCACAATATGACTCACTTTGTAATAATCAGAATATCTGATGATGATGAGAAGCACTTATTACCTCTCTACTATATGCCCTGAATGTTGCCCTGTCACCTTTTATTGGACCAGGTATGGCCAGTCTTACTAAAACTTACAATACTAACATTTTGTTTAAATTTAGAGACTGTTTGTGGTGGTCTCGTAGAACAATATACAAAAAGGTAAGCTCTGATAAACACACCACTCCAAAAAAATGTAATAATTTCTGATAAAAATATTGAAATATTATAGATCTCTCTGAAGATGCTGATCTGTAGATAGAAGCTTGGTGAATGTTGGATATTCAAAATTTAATGGTCAGTTGACCATCATTAAAACATTGAAAGATTCATTATGATTAGTTGTTAAACTGCACTCTCCACATTCCTATTTGCCTTATCTTCATATAGAAAATGACAGAGCCAAGATTTTCTATTTTAGAATACACCTCGTAAACCAAACATGAAAATTAGACAACAAGTAAATTTACAATATTTCAACAACGGCATTAAAAAAAATGTTGTGAGTTCAGTAGGAAATACAGTAATTTCCACAGATTAGGGTCCTTATCAATAAAATCATAGTAATACAATCCAAAGTACAAACTGTGAAGTGCATTACATTTAGCAACCAGTTTGAATCAGTTTTATACTTCTATTGCTTACTTGTTCCACCTAGCAAACAATCAATATATTTGTTTCATGGTCAGACTTGGACTGTACATATGACAGCTAGCAGTTCATTGCTATGATCAATAGGAATCATCAGTCCCTGTGTTCTTTGCTTCTTGACTGGTTTAGAACAAGCTCATTACTTTACCAGTTTAGTAGAAACTGCATACAGTACATCTACATGTTTTCATGTCACACATGGACAAATGCAGTACTATGCATCACTAAATATAAAAAGTATACCTGATGACTATAAATTATTGCGGTATAAGATTTTATATCGTAAATATTCCTCCAAGCATAGCATAGCAGTGTCATCTACCTTTGGGTCAAATTTGTTGGCAAAGAGGTGATGTTGTTTAATTAGCCAGCTGAGATCTCCAGCACCATAGACACATACTGCCCTTCTGTGAATTCCAGTACAAGGAGGGTAAGCAGCCCCTTTAGCTATGTCACCCTCACCGTAAGACCATTTAACCATTCTAGCCATTGCATTCATATCTGATTGTTCATACTTTCCATTGTATGGAGAGGAACCTGGAACACCGGGCATTCTGTTCAAAGTGGCCCAAAGGTGTTCATCGGGACTGTAAGTGTCTTTGACCCAATCTATAAACTTTTGAACTTCTGGTTCTTCAAATATATACTTCACAAAATCTTTGGACACCACAATGTAAGCACTTCCTGTGAACATTGGGCTTGTAATTGGTGATGGCATTTTTTCAGTATTAGTTTTAGAAATGTAATCACCTACTTCATAGTGAAATTTCCAGCGTGTTTGTTTCAGTTGTGAAGGTCTTTCAGATTCCATTGTGTTTTTTTCCATTTAATGTTTTCAGAACACGCACAATTTCAGCATTTGTTTTTAGTGGGAAGTCTGAGCCACAAGTGTTTAGAAGGTATTTCCATTGAATGTTACTTTTAAGTAGCTCCTCCATGCAGTTGAGATCAGCCTGGACTCTTGACCAAGAAGCATAGACCACTTTCTCCAATTTAGATGCCACAAAAACATTATCAAAGCATGAGGTGATAGCTTTCACTGCTTCCTTGAACTGTGCTGTAGACTTTTCATCCACGTGGATACAATAGATGTTCTGCGGAACATAAATTGCCCTCAATAGCCTCTCAAACATCTCAATGTTCTCGTGAATGACCATCGAATATGCAATTGGAAAATCCTCTTCTTCCTTGCTCATGGTAATAGTCAAATATTTTCTAAATTGTTTGAATTTTTGACAATCTGTAGTCAGGTTTAAATATATTTGTTCAGTCAAATAAGAACTCTTCTTCTTCTTCAAATCAGTCTTAACTTCTAATGCCTTTTGTATAGCTTCAGAGTCTCCCTTCATAATTTTGGAACAATTTAGCTCACTGTGTTCCTGTGGTCTCAATCTTTACAAGTTCGTAAAGTTCATCTCTACAGAGCTGACTCGTGTCATTCTGATTGTCTTTCAAGGTGCGTGGATTGTTGTATGTGTATTTAATGAGAAAGGTAGAAGAGAAAGCTAGTAGAATCAAGATGAGAAGCTTCTGAAGAGAAAAGCACCTGAGCCTCCTGAAATCACACGGTGACATTCTTCCAGATGAGGATGAACTAGTTGTATGAAGAATGTAGTAGTGTTCCTTTGGACTTTTTCTGAAAGCTGGCTATAAATAAAGTGTGATGAGCAATGATTAACACCCACTAGGAGTTACATGCTTTAGGCATCAGGTTTCTGATTACAATTCCACCTAAATGTTGAAATAAGTAACAGGTTGCAAGGATGAAAGAAATTGCTTAATCTCTGAGGGCGTGTAGCTTGATCTGCAAGCATTGTCTCATAACTTCCTTAATACATTGTGATCCCACAGATAACTCTTATCCATTTAAAGTCTAATATATCTGGCAAAGTTAATATTTTAGGAAACTAAATAATGCATATGGCTAGTAAATTAATTTCAAGGGATTTATTTCAATATACACTCCTTCAGAACTTTCAGTTACATATTAATTAATATTAATAATGTGCTGCAAGGAGAAAACTCAGTTACGTATTGGTGGATTGGTATAACTAAATACAAAAGTGACTAAAGTGCACTTGGATAACATCTATATCTTAAAAACACTTGGCAGAGGCAGGGTAATACTGAATAGATCATAAATTATGTTTATCGGGTTAATATGCAGATTTATACACGCAGAAAATAAGTGATTTAGTAACTAATGTGTGCACCTGTTACTACACACTATTTTCATTCACATTGAATTGCAAACTAAATATCCTGTATCCGAATTTGAAACCCCCTAGTGCCAAACATTTATTGAAGTCCATATTCAGCCTCTTTTGCTTATTTCTATATTAGACCCCGGAGAAAGACTTAAAACTCTACAGAGAAGGTTTGAGCAAATATTGAAAATACAAATATAAAATATTGCAATACAGTTGTTCTAGACATTAATACTGAAATTTTATAGATAGGCAACTCCTATCCTCATATTGATTAGTGGTTTCAAATTAATAATAACTACTGCAGTAGGGAACAGACACAAAAAGATACACTCAGCATCTTTCCAAATCCCTGTTCTCTTTATTCGGAGAATAAAATTTGAAATTTTTTATACACATGATTACGTAGGTATCACATTAATATTACAATTGTACTTTTATGGTAACAAGGGGCTTTACATAGGCAGGCTAATTTCTAATCAGAACTTAAAGGAATGCAACAATAATGAAAACATTATTAGTGTCATGTGCACAATGAGTGCAGTGTACAATACATAGGCAAAGCATACAAAATAGAATACAATTTTATACAGAATTGACAAATTTCCTTTACATTCTCAATTGACAAATTTCCTTTACACAACAAAACAGTAAATTTATATGTATTTTACTTAGTTATTTAGCCTGTTTGCTTTGGGTTTCACTTTAAAGTTTCCCTGTCCCCATAGGGTCACTTCTAAAGAGAAGGTAGCCTTTAAATAAAGAATGAATATACTTATCTCTCTCACTGCTTTCCAGCCACTGCATATATGGTTTTATAGAATACCTCCTTCCCCAACACATGCTGTGGTTCCTCCTACAGGCTCATACATCACTACTGGATGTTCAAGTTGGCAGGAAAAACCTGCACGTGTGTGTCAAGAAGAACAGGTATTTGACCTACACAGAGGGTCATTGTGGTTCATTAAAGAATATATAAGTTGCGTTAACATGCATTGGATTAAGGCAGCCTATATATTATGAATGGGCTGTTAATGCACCTTAATTGATGAAGGGGTCACTTAACCACTTGCCCTCCGGAGATTTACCCCCCTAAATGACCAGGACATTTTTTGCTATTCAGCACTGCACTATTTCAACTGGTAATTGCATGGTCATGTGATGCTGCACCCAAAAAAAACGTTATGTCCTTTTTTTCTCACAAATGGATCATTCTTTTCAGTTTGATCACCAATTGTTTTTTTTTTATAAACGAAAAAAAGACCGAAACACTTTATTTTTTGCCACAAATTTTTGGAAAATGACAAAAAAATCAATGACCACCTCCAGGCTTTCAAAGGGCTTTCCTCATATCACTTCCTCACTACCTATTACAGTTTCAGAGGCCCTAAAATGCCAGGATAGTACAAACACTCCCCCAAATCATCCCTTTTTGGTAAGTAGACACCCCAAGGAATTTGATAAGAGGCAGGTGAGTATTTTGCAGATATCTTTTTTGTCTTTTTCTTTGTTTTCCAAAAACCTGTGGCAACAAATGAGATCTGCAAAATGCTAAAATAAAAGAGAAATGGATACCAAACATGACATGCTTTAAAATTGCACACGCCTGTGTAACGGCGACAAAGTACGTACATTTTTAATATCCATCGGTGACGCTTTAAAGCCTTTACAGGTTACCACCTTAGATTTACACAGGAAATCTAGTGCTAGAAATTCTGCCCTTGATCTGACGTTCGCGGTGATACTTCACATGCATGGTGCAATCTCTGTTTACATACCGCCACAGAACTGCCACTTGTGTTTGCCTTGTAAGAGCAATCCAGTGGCTAATTAGCGGCTAGGATTGTTTTTACATGAAAGCCGACTACCAGCTGAAAAAAATGATACAATCAGTTCCCTGATTATCAGTGCAGCCCCATCAGTGCAACATATCAGTGCCCATCAGTTTCCAACAGTGCAGCCTATCAGTACCTGTCAGTGTAGCCTATTAGTACCCATCAGTGCAACATATCAGTGCCACTCATCAGTGCCCATCAATGCAGCCTTATGAGTGCAGCCCCATCAGTGCCTTTTCATCAGTGCAGCTTATCAGTTCAGCCTCATCAGTGGCCATCAGTGCTGCCTCATCAGTGCCCATCAATATAGCCTTATCATTGCCCATCAGTGCAGCCTCATCAGTGCTTATCAGTGCAGCCTCATCAGTGCCCCCTCAGTGCAGTAACATTAGTGCAGACTATCAGTGCCCATTAGTGCAGACTATCAGTGCCCATCACAAAGCATTAGACCCCGACCGCTACAACCCTGGCAGACTGACCATACCAAAAATCCCAAACGACGCAGTCGTGTGCTGGAGCGACTATGGCGCAAAACCAGATCCCAACAAGCGTTCACCCGATATATATCTACACTTCCTCCTCTCACGCTGCCAAGCAAGCCTACTTTGTTACCCTCATTAATACCTTCTCCTCCAGTCCTTGCCGGCTCTTCTCTACTTTTAACTCTCTACTCTCTCCGCCCCCACCTCCACCCAGTACCTCACTTACCGCCCACGAGATTGCTAACCCCTTCAAAAACAAGATCAACGCAATTCGTAGGGACATTGCCACTGCTCAGACTTCCACCCCACCTAGCATCCCTCACACTAAAACCCCCTCAGCACTCCACTCCCTTGCCACTGCCCAGACTTCCACCCCACCTAGCATTCCTCACACTAAAACCCCCTCAACACTCCACTCCTTCGACCTAGCTACCACTGAAGAGGTCACTAAGGTCTTCTCTGAAGCCCGCCTCACCACCTGCCCCCTTGACCCTGTCCCCTCACAACTCCTATGATCACCCTCTTCCTCCATCCTACGCTCCCTCACACACATCTTTAATCTTTCCCTCTCTACTGGCACATTCCCTTCCCCTTTAAAACATGCTGTAAAGAACTGCCTGGCGGTACCTCTAGCAGCCCACTGGTTATGTTTCCCCAGAGCGCGGAGTCTAAGTCCCGGTCCGCTTGTTCACCAGGGCCCCTGATGGTGGGGATGGACTTGGAGCGAACCGAGACCAGGTCGCGGCTCCTGAGTACACCTACCCGCGGTAGAGGGATCCACCAGAGGTTTCTGCAGGGTGAGAGCCTGATGTGAAGAGGCGGATATGCCAGAGGAAGGTGGATGGATGAGCAGGAGCGTGGTCAGACAAGCCGAGTCGGTAGCCGTGGGAGCAGTGCGGTACAAAGCAGCGGGCAGAGAATGGTCGGGTCACACGCCAGGTCAGCAACAGAAGATCAGATACAATAGGGGGCATCTAGGAGGTAGGTCAGGCAAGCCAGGGGTCAGATCAGGAGAGTATAGCAAAGTCAGGAACAATCCGGGTCAGCAACAATCAAGAATCACGGTATACAGGAGCAGGGAACACAGGGAGACCAAACGGCAATTCATGTCAGCGCAGGGCGATTTAAATACCGCTCCCTGCGCTGTCATTAGTGCCAGGCATGCACCTGCAGCTCTGAGTGTGCATGCACGGGTTCCGTCTCTGCCGCAGCCGGACAGGACCTAGTGCCCTTACACTAGCGTGAAC